TTGTACAAGACAGGCAGCCATTTGAAACATCCTGACATCTCCCCCAGGCAATTGGCTCATGTAAGTGTAAGGAAAATGATCATAATGACAAATAGCAGTAAAGCCGAATGACAGTGGCCCTGTCGGGGGTCTGTCTTTGAAGCTTCAGGCCGCCCTCCCATGTGCTGAAGGGAGATCGGCCAAGTCAGCCTCCCTTTTGTGAGGTTCTCTGCTGTGGGAAACCAAATTGCCATCTCAGCCCCCTCCGGGCTTGGCCGCAAGCCTCCATTGGCCCTCACATCAGACACACCTGCTCCCGTCCCCAGTGGGGGCAGAGACCGAAGAGCCTCGCCATCCATTCTGTGGTCTCTGAGCCTGGTGCTCAGCCCAAAGCTGACTCCCTGGGCCAGTAAGAGCCCAGGAACCAGAGTGGGTTGTAGGAGCCCGTGAGGGGGTGTAGACCAGCACCTTCCAACAGAAATAAAATGCAGGCCAAACTGCGGGTAGCAGCCATATTTGTGTTTTGTTTTGTTTTCCCTAAAGATTTATTTATTTATTTAAGTAATCTCTACACCCAACATTGGGCTCAAACTCACGACCCCAAGATCAAGTCACTGTTTCAGATATTGTGTCTCCTTCTCTCTCTCTGACCCTCCCCCACTCACACTCTGTGTGTGTGTGTCTCTCTCTCTCTCAAAACTAAATAAACATTTTAAAATTAAAAAAAAAAAAGTCACATGTTCTACCGACTGACCCAGCCAGGCACCCCCTAGCCACCGCAGTTTTAAAAGTTAAAAAAGGGAGCACTTGCGTGGCTCAGTCAGTTAAGCGTCCGACTTCGGCTCAGGTCATGATCTCACGGTTTGTGGGTTCGAGCCCCGTGTCGGACTCTGTGCTGACAGCTAGCTCAGAGCCTGGAGCCTATTTCAGAGTGTGTGTCTCCCTCTCTCTCTGACCCTCCCCTGCTCACGCTGTCTCTCTCTCTCTCTCTCTCTCTCTCTCAGAAATAAATAAAACATTAAAAAAAATCTTTTTAAAGCTAAAAAAGAAATAGGTGAAATTAAGCTTAACATATTTTATTTAACCCAATAGATCCAAAATACTAATGAGATCTTTTAGGTTTTTTTCCTAAGTCTTCAGAACCCGATGTGTATTTTACGCCTAGCGCACATCTCAGTTTTCACTAAGTCACATTTCGAATGCTCAGTGGCCATATGGGGGTAGTGGCTACTGTACCGCACAGTGCAGGTCGCGACAGCTCACAAGGGATGGGGTAACCAGCATCCTGAAACATGTGTATCTAAATGTGTGTCTTCAAATGGGGCTCTCTAACACCATTTCCTTTTTGCAGTGGGATTTTGGGTAATTGGAGGTATATATTTGTAGCAGCTCATCATTGAAAGGATAGCATGCTTCCTTCTAAAAATGAATTTGCACGACACCTGCGTAGTTCAGTTGGTTAAGCATCCATTCAGCCCAGGTCACGATCTTGTGGTCCATGAGTTCAAGCCCCGCATCGGGCTCTGTGCTGATATCTCAGAGTCTGGAAACTGCTTCAGATCCTGAGTCTCTTTCTTTCTCTGCCCTTCCTCTGCTTGTGCGCTCACTCACTCTCTTTCTTTCAAAAATAAACTTTTTTAAAAAACCTTAAAAAAATAAAATTAAGGCAAATTTGCAATGGTCAGGTTGCACCCTATACCTTGTAACTTAGATCTCCGGACCTTCCTGTTTTGTGGAGGGCACAAGTCAGGGCTGATATTGTGAACTTTTCTGAGAAGAAATGCTCTGGCTAAATTCCAGATCATGTCCTGTTATTAGAGTCGAAGGCACTGCAGTATTCAGCATGACTGCATCTCGGCCCAGTAGCTGGGCTGGGGGGCTCCAGAGACTGCCAAGGGCTATCGCGGAGAAAAATGAGCCCATTGGCACTTGGCCCTGTGCTTTGGTAAGCCCTGGAGGAAGGAGAGGGTGTTATCAGCAGGAGTCATGAGAGTTTAATGCTGTGGAAACAGAAAATAAAAAAGCGAGTTGAACCAAAGCTGGTAAGAGTCGAGAAAAGACAAAGCAAAGCTCTTGGGGCGGCCCTGGCTTTCAGACTTTGTGAATCATTCTGGCCAGAAACAGGGTTTCCATACCCTTGACCTCTGACAGCTTTCCACACGCAGGTGGCATTTTCTACCGCCCAGTAGAGGAGCCTGGTTGGTAAGGTTGCTCAGATAGCGGTAGACTAGAGGATATGAAATGCGGCTTGACTTCCCTCGCTCGGCCCCCACCGATCCTCAGCCTGATAATTCCCACAGCAACACGCGCCTCTGCTCCGCCTGTGTTAGAAACAGAGTAACTAAAACACTGATCCATGAAAATAGATTTCCCCCGACTGGTTTTCATACAGTTACAAGAATAAATTTTATTCAAGTGCTGTTGAAATAATACAGGTACAACTGAAACGGTGATTTTAAGCCTCTTTAATCTTCGAAACCCTTGGATTAACATGAGCCTCAGTGTGCATGATTACATATATTTGAAAGCCACAAACTGTATTTTTAAAACAAAAATGTCAGTATTCAGAGAGCACCACTTATGAACTGATTGGCTTTGGGCAGGTCTCTTAAACTTTTTGCTACATCAGCTTTCTCACCTATGAAATGGGAGGAATAATCATTTCTGCAGCATTGGGTTCTCCAGAATATTCCTAGAGCATCTTTTACATAGTAGGTGCTTAGCAAGTGTGCACCTTTGCTCTCCCAGAGAGAATTTCTCTTGCTGTTCTGCTTGGTCAAGGCAAGCTTTGATCCAGTAATTCCCTGTCTTAGAACTAGAATGACAGGCGTCAATTTCCATCCTCAGGTGGTGCTTAGCGGCTCGTTTTGGTAGGGCTTTTTATACTCCGTATGTGTGCATTTTCCGAGTTTTCAAAAAAGAACAAATGGGAGTTTAAAAAAGAAATGAAGGCCCCCTCGTAGGTTCCTCTGGTTATCATTTTCTTGTCAAGAAAATGAGCTCTAAAGCTGCCAGATCCAAGCATGTGCCCCCTTGTCACCGCCCACGCCGAGGCAAGCCACAAGAGCTTGTGTTGCTCGTTCTACAGGGAGACATGTTAGTAATACAGTAAAGAAATGGAGAGGAAGAGACATGCAGAAGGTTTCTTTCTGTCCCAGGACGTTTCATGAGACACTGTGGACCGTTAAAAACATACCCTAGAACATTTCAAAGTCAAATGTGTGTGCAAAATGGTAAAATGGCCATGCCAAGTACTTGTTGGGGTGTGGGATGTCTTCACCTGGAATCCGGGGGCTCGATCCATGGTGGGGGGAGGGGGCAGGGACTGTGGGCCTTGGGCAGCTATGCCAGTGTTTTAATCGCCCATGAACTAGAAATTCAAGTCACTGTTCCCCTCTTCCGTGAGGGCAGGCCCTAGGATTATTCTGGTACTTTGGAGAGCCACAAAGGTGGAGGGAGCAGTCGGGGACAGGACTCTGTGACCCATCACCCAGCTTCTCACCGGCTGCCTGCATTTTGGCATCTCATTTCATCTGTTCTGACCCTATTCCGCCCATCTTGCTGAAGTATTTAAAACAAATCTAAGATATGTCATTTCACCCATAAATACTTCATCTCTCATGCATTTCACTCATAAATACACACATCTCTAACCAAAAAGGACTCTTCATTTGAGTTACTATTTTTTAAAAAATTTTATTTAAGTCCAAGTTAGTTAACATAGGGTGTAATAATGGTTTCAGGAGTAGAATTTAGTGATTCATCACTTACATATAACACCCAGTGTTCATCCCAACAAGTGCCCTCCTGATGCCCATCACCCTCCCCTTTAGCAACCTTAGGGGGTTTTTTTTCTATGTATTTAAGAGTGTCTTATGGTTTGCCTCCCTCTCTCTTTTTATTTTTATCTTATTTTCTCTTATTTTGTCTTGTATCCTATTTTTTCTTATCTTTTATTTTTCTTATATTTTTCCTTCCCTTTCTCTATGTTCATCTGTTTTTGTTTTTTAATGGTTATTCATGTTTGAGAGACAGAAACAGAGCATGAGTGAGGGAGGGCAGAGAGAGAGGGAGACACAGAATCTGAAGCCAGGCTCTGAGCTGTCAGCATGGAGCCCAATGCAGGGCTCAAACTCGCGAACTGTGAGATCATGACCTGAGCTGAAGTCAGATGCTTAACTGACTGAGCCACCTAGGCTCCTCCTGTTTTGTTTCTTAAATTTCACATCTGAGTGAAATCATATATTTATCTTTTTCTGACTTATTTTGCTTAGCATAATACACTCAGTTCCATCCACATTGTTGCAAATGGCAAGATTTCATTCTTTTTGATTGCTGAGTAATACTCCATTGTATACTATCAACAATAGCCAAATTATGGAAAGAGCCCAAATGTCCATTGATTGGTGAATGGATAAAGAAGATTTGTATACACACAGACACACACAAACACACACACACGACACTTTTTAACTAATCATACCATTTTCCCACCTAACAAAATTAGTGATAATCTCTTAACATCTAAATCAAGACCACATTTTAATGTTCCTGATTTTTTTTACAGTTGGTTTGGTTTGAATCAAGATTCAACAAGTTTCGAATGTTACATTGGATCATTTTACATCTCTTTAAAAATGTTTTGAAAAACTTCAGATACATTATGACCACCATCAAAATTCTGTTACATAGCTTGATTATCATATCTACCAGACCCTAGGTCTGAATGACCTCTGGCTTCTTCTGAAAATTAAATCCACCTCACTGTCCAAATATTTGTCACCAGTGAGGTTAATTAAATGTACCTTCAGACAGCACTCTGTGGCTTCTCCAGAAAGATTCAGAGGCACTGTTCCCAAACAGGTTTTGGTTAGTGAATTCCTGGGAGGTAGTTCCTGGTGTCTCTGATTTGCAGGGCCTTTCCCCTTGGTGCAGAAAGGCCTACCTGCTTGGCATATCTGTTCCAACACAGGCTTCTTGATTTGCCACTAATTGTAACTGATGTGTGTGTTTTCCCACAGATAATCGCTTATCAGCCGTATGGGAAATCCGTGGACTGGTGGGCCTATGGCGTTCTGTTATATGAAATGCTAGCCGGGCAGGTAACGTGTCGCTATGTTTTCATGCTTGTTTATTGCTGGATAATGTGAGTTATTTCACCTCGGTTCGGGCCACGGTAGCGGGACCTGACAGCTGTTGCTGCTGGTCTGACTTCCCTAACCCAGGTAAACAAGGGAGAAATCTGCCACCTCCTTCCCCTTGACGGTGGATTGTATTGAGTAGGCACAGCAATCATCTCCTGGTCATAAAAACCCCACAACCTGGGCCCAGACAATGTAGCCTTCATATTCTACACAAGAGCCCCCTGGAGGATGACAGGCGCCTCTGTAGGTTTTCAGGATCTCAGCACCAGGGTTGGGTCATGGGCCCCGGAACGTTTGTCTGCACACATTACCCCAGCGGCTGCCTGGTGTCTATAATCGCTATTATTATCAGAGGAAACGACAGTAAAACTTGAAGAATCGTTTTAATAGCTCCTTGCCATCTCTCCTTATCTCACCCTTGGCAGTTTGTTGCAATTTTCACAAAGGAGAAAGGAGGCTGAACCTCCAGTTACAAAAAAGACAGATTAGGTTTCTTTGAGGAAGGCAGCGTAGGTCAGATAACCAGGGGGATTACGGCCTAGGCTGGCGTGTTTTAATATACGGCCTTAATATCCGCGTCGGTGGATAGCTGCAGTAGCCGCTTTAACGAGCAACCGTAACATCTCCGCGGTCTAACACACAACACGGATTTATTTTACATTCTCGGCAGGGTCCTATGTGGTGGCAGGGAGTGGGGTGGGAATACGGTCCACATGGCCATCCAAGCCTTGCCATCTTTTAGGGCCTCGTATTCCTCTAGGGACCCCCTCCTTACTCAACCGGCCAGTGAAGAGAGAGCAGAAGGGATGTTGCATGGAATGTTTTAGGGGCCAGGCCTAGAGGTGTGGTACACATCTCTCCCCGCTGTGGCCCACCGGCCACATGGCCCCAGACGCAAAGGCCTGGGAAGCATAGTGTGCCTGTGAGCTCAGCAAGGGGAAGCAGGTCGGGTGAGAATCTGTCTGCCAGGTTTCTGTCGTTGTACCCAAAAACAACTCTGCTGTGGGCAGCTTTTTATAATTCCCAGCACTCAAGTACTGGTGTCCAGGAGTCTGACCCTCCATAGCCAAAAGCCTTGAGAAAATGGGAAGAAATGCCTGTGTTGGGCAGCTAAGCTACCCCCAAGGAAGTCTTTGGATCTTTGTTCCGGGGGGAGGGGAGAATCACCCTTTCTGACATTTGACATCCATTGACTCGTGTGTATTCATTCGGCATATACTTATTGAATGCTTGGTTATTGTAAGCATAACAGACAAAAACCTTACCTTCGTGAGGCCTACAGTCTAGAGAGAGAGAGAGACAGTAGATGAGTTAAATAAGGAAAATACAGAATAGTGATAAGAGAAGAAGTAACAAAGCAGGAAAAGAAGATGTAGTGCTGGAGGAGACTTGAGATTTTATCGAGGATGACCAAGGAGGGCCTCATGTAGAGCTAAAGTAAGGACCAGAAAAAAAGTAAGAGAATGCCCGTGTGCGTATATGTGGTAAAAGCCCTCTGGGAGGCAGAAACAGTAAGTGCAAAAGCCCTGGGGTGGAAGTTTGTAGCCATGTTTAAGAAAAGGATGGGAAACCACCAGTCTGGCCAGAGCAAAGTGGCCTAGAGAGGGAGTGGGAACTGAAGTCTGAGAAGGAAGGGAAGCCCAGGTCGTGTGAGCATGGAAGTCATCACAGACCATGCGCTTTCCCTCTGGGGTGGGAGGCCATTGATGATCATTGTCTTACATCTTTTAGATACTAAAGTAGTCTCTTAGATATTAAAAGGTTCAGAGCATTAGCCCACATTTGGCCCTTAACTGAGAAGTGATGTTAAAACTTGATTACTAGTAAAATGGTTTGTGATTATTTATTTAGGTTTTTAACCCCAATAAAATGTTCATCTCAGGCCAAATACCCCCCATTTTTTTAAGCACAGAAAAGCAAGTTATCCAGAACCATCATTAGTGAGACAACCGCGAGTGGCCTGCCCCTTGAGTTAATTTCCCCTCTTTAGAATTCTGACAATAAAATTTCAATGATCGCTCCCCCTCCCCTGAGAGCCACACTGTTTATAAAGGCACAAAAAGCTGAGTTCCCCTTCTTGATCCCACTTGAATGCTCTGACTCTTGAGTCCAGGAACAAATGCTGTTTTCACTGAGTCACATTTGCATATGTCAACAAAAGAGATTGGTTGGGTGGAAACAGGATCTGTTTCCAAGGCGCTTCACAAGAGATCCAATGAGCTGACTCGTGATTGGCCAGCAAGAGACTGGCCTGCAGCAAAGTCACACCCTCGCCCCGCCCACACACCGGCCACGCCCACACATGCCACGCCCACACAACCGCTCCCACACACACCTCCATCTTCCTTCTGCTCCAAGCTCCTCTGGAGGCTTCACTTCCTAGAGAAGAGCTCAGGATCTGCTGCTCTCCTGCAGGGGAGTCCCCTCAGGGGTGCATTTTCACATCCTGCCTCACTTGGGGACTGTCCCTGGTGCTCTCCCCACGCCCAGTGCTACCATAAACATGCTGGCACATTTTTGCTGTTTCCCATACTACTTCTCAGACTTCATTAGCCTGCCTGTTCGGATTCCTTCAAGTTTTCATTATCTCTATTGAAAATGGTGACACTCTTTAAATGGGAAGTCTTAAAGGCAGCCCACATTCGGGCACAGCCGCAGACTCAGCCCATTGTCCCCCTGAATGCCCCGAACACAGTGTTTTCATTTCAGAAACCCACTTCTTAGTCTTCCCTGTGACTCGGTGCAAATTCAAATGTATTTCTGGGCTGTGACTCAGCCCGGAAAGGATAATGAAGGCTTTGCGTCTGTTACCCAGAGCCCCTCCAAAGCTGCAGCGACCTCCAGGACCGGCCCACGGAATAGACGCTGTTATTGAAAGTAAGATTATTTCAAAGTTGTTGACAGGGGTTGTGGTCTGAATTTGTCCTCTTTCATCACAGAGGGCCAGAGATGAGCAGGAAAGATGGTTTATTGCAATTTTCTCCTCATTTGGTATATTTATTGTCAGCAGCCAAGGGGGCAGTTAAGCATAAACAGCCTGAGTCTTTCTTCAGTTCCTGGATTGCTTGACAAATATGATTACTTTCGGGCAAAAACAGTGTTTACCCAGCACCGTAATGAGCATATTATAGCTCTGCGCGTTCACGGGGGTTGTCATAAAGGCACCAGCCCTCTCCTCTTTAGATCCCCTTCTTCCAGCATTCTTTATGTTTTGTCTTCGTTCCTAATATACTGGTAATGGGTACCTGATCCCAAAACTTGAGCCTGCCGTGTCCGTGGGTGCTCTCCCACCCCACCACCAGTCACCAGTGATCAGGAGACAAACATGGCAGACTGCCATCAGCCGCGAACTAGGAAGTGATTTAGGAACCGTTTTGGAAAGGGTAAAGCATCACCCCTCACCTGTCTGCCTAAAAGTCACAAATTGCATATTGCTAAGCAGGGCACTGCTGGGGCTGAACGTTTTTACACCAAGCCAAGACTTGACGTATTAACGGGTGGCTTAGCCTGAGGCACAAAGTCCAGATTTGTAGACATTTAAAAATGATTACGAGCATGCGGTAAAGAGGGGAGAGAAGCAATCCAAAATGGTCACGTATTTAGTCTCCAGCAACACATTACCTCTTGTTGTCACCAGGCTCAGTAGCCGAGGTGACTGGGAAGGGAAATGAATATAACTATAACTTCACTCCTGACCTGCCTTCAATGCCAAGGCCAAGCAGCAATTACTTCTAAGAATGTTCCCAGGGGTGGCCAGGACAGACTTAACGAGAACCATAAAAATGTCCACATTCTTCAGCTGCATAATCCCACACCTGGGAAGTTTTCCTTAGGAAGTCCTTCAGAGAAGGAAAAAAATGACGCACACAGAGATGTTTATAGAGGTGCTAGTTCTCAGAATGTGGCCCCAAAGCCATTGTAGGTGTGCCAGTGGACAGGGAAGTTCGTCTCTGACAGATGATGGATGTATCAGCTGAGCGGCACTAATCTGGGAATGCAGGTAGCCAGAGAAAGTATTCGCAACAGTCCGTGAAAAACAAGAAACTCCAAACTATGCATCATTGTTTGAAAATAATATGATAGGCCTGAGAGTTCACAGAAAAGGGAGAACAGTTTTTGTATTAAGGTCAAGGGAATGTGGATGCTACCTTCGTGGAATTCCCCTCCCCCAGGAATACATGGCTTTAATTCACTGTAAGGCTCCAGGGAGCTTTCCTGAGTATGATGGTCATTAGTGCTGTTCACCAGATACTTTGGGTCTTCCTGCTTCCTGGCACATGGTCGGATTGTACCTCCTGGCTCACTCGTGATTGGATAGAGCATGTGACTGATTCTGACCAATGAGATCTGAGTGGAAGTGCTCCAGTGTGGAGCACTCCGGCCCTGGGGCAGGATACCCCAGGGCACCTGTTCCCACTCCACTGAGGCAAGACCAAGGTGGCCATCAGCGTGGGTCCCTGGGTGCCCTCTGCTGACTGCCAGTGGGCGTGTGGGCAAAGGCAAGAGATAAGCAATCAAATTGAGACTGGGAAATCACACCAAGTTTCTAAGCTAGAGAGACTCTCCACAGTGACTTGAAACCTCTCAAGCCTCAGTGACTGCCCCTCTTTGTGTTCAGCCCACTACTTACTGTGCAGGACACCAAAATAGCCACCCCCACCCCTGCCCCTGTGGCACCCTCTTTAGGTGCTGGAGGGACCAGCAGCTAAGCACCTCCCACTCGGCCCCACCAGCAGCAGCGCCAGGGGACCGTCCTTCACCATTGACCCCATGGGACAAGCATGAGGCATTGGCGTTGCTCAGAATGGCTCAGAGCCCCAACCCCACAGTCAGATGTCTGTACTTGAACCTTGGTTCATCCACATCCCAGCTCTGTGACCCTGGCCAGAGCACATAGTACAGCCTCAGTGAGCTCAGCTGTAAAATGGGATTGATTGTACATATGATATACAGTGGTTTTGAGGATTAAGTGAGTGATGCATGCAAAGCGCTCCCCATGGTGCCCGGCACACAGAAAGAGCCTGAAAATATGTGTTACTGCTACTGCCGCTGTCCTTACTGCTGTTCACTCCCAAATACCGGCCATTTATCAGGCAGTGGGTGATAATAGAATGTCAGGGCTGGAGGCAGCTTTCCACCGTGGGATGTGCTGACGGGAGGCCCCAGTCTTTGGGGCCACATAGGGATGAAACATGGGGTGAAATGTGAACGCACTGCCCCCAAGGACACACAGTCGTGTGGCTTCTGTTCTAGCTTAGAAATTTCATCACAACAGGTGAGCTCAAGGGGCCTCAGAACTCTTCCATCCCCAGCTTATATGACTCACATTGGATTAAACAGCCTTCTTTACTGCAGGACTTCTTAGAACGTTTACGAATGTAAATGTTATTGGATATCTCCAGAAGGGGACCCAGGAGTATCCTGTAGGCTGAATAGCCAAGGAATGTTCTCTGGGGTGTCCTCCTCTCGGGGAGAACACAGAGGGGACCTCATGGCCATCTACTTCCTTTGGTCATTAGTAGACACAGCTCACCTGAGCCAAGCTGGTCCCCCACGCCAGGAGGACAATTCAGCAGGTGCAACAGGCCAGTGCCCTGCATGGAATATTCCCCCCAAATTCCCATCTTCCACGTCAGAGTCGGGGGTGGGGGAGAGGCAGCTGCGTTGATCTAATTGTCAAATGCAGAGGTTCTTGCTGCCTCATGTGAGAAAGATCCCTGGTGATGGTTTGTCTTTGGAGAGAATTTCTCGTAAGCCTTTGGCTTGAATTATCTGTGACTCAGCCCCAGTAGCATTTCTACTGCTTGTACTTGAGCACCACCAAAGAGACCGGTTGACTCTCCCTGGTACCTCTGTCACTACTCAACAAAGTTCACCATGTTCGGCCAGCCTCATGGGCATGAGACCTATGTAGTCATACAGGACCCACGCTCCAAGAACCCCACGCATCTGGTTTGATGCTCTGCTGTTGCTGTCTTGAAATTCTCAACAGTTATCTGATAAGGGGCCCACGTTTTCATTTTGCACCAAGATCCACAAAGTCTGTAGTTTCTCCTGACTCGTGGCCCTAAGGGGCCACGTTGGGAGGTGCTGTTTGGTTACCCAGGAGCAGAATCTATGCCCTGCCCCCATCCCTGGCACCATGTCACTGTAGAGAAGGAATAAATAGGAAATTTGGAGTGAACGGGGCCCCCTGGATGTATGCAATTCACAGCCCTGGGTGGAAGCCACACCAGGTTTGCTTTAGCTATGAAGATCCCCTTGGCCGAAAACCAGCCGCATTTATGGATCACTTACTCGGGAAAATGGGATGTTGTGTGTGTCATATCACAGGTGTCCTGAAAAAGTGGGTTGCATGATATCAGCAGAGAAGGTGTGGTAGGATGGACAACAGGAGCTCCCCGGCCGGCGCAGCTATGCTCACACCCCCAGGATGTCCTGCTCTGCTCTCTGTAGATGGAGGGGGCACAACCCCGCTGACCCGGGTGGCCATCCGCACTTGCAAGCGGCGTGTCTGTGCCCAGCTGACTTGACTGTGGGCATCCCAAGCGCCATGTTATTTCTGCCCAAGGAAACTCACCATGACGGCTGTTTCTTCTCTGCTCAGAGCCATTCACAGGCAGGCTAATTTTAGTTCTCCTCACCCACCTGCGTGCTTCGACCCAATTAAATATTCTTTACACCAGGCGCCTACAACTGGAAAAGAGGCCCATTTATTTATATTTCTAGCCAAAAACAAAAAACAAAAACAGTGGTGCCGGTCCCACCCCCCAGCTCTCCCATACCCAGCCCAAGGTAGAGTTCTTTATAGACTTTGCATCTTTCCCCTGGGTGGGTGTGGCTTCCATGTGCTGACCCCACAGCCAACTCCTATTCAGAGCTGAGGGTGGGGGAGCACTCAGGCTGGGGTCAGTTGAGCAGTTTGGAATGAGCCGCATCGTGGTTCAGGGGAAGCACTCTGCTTGGTTCAGATGCTCTCTCTTACTCAGAAATGTCTGATAAGGAGGGATATGCTGCTGACCACCGCAGAGCTGGCTTTGGTGCATGATCTAGTTTACATTGAAGCTGGACTCCGCATTAGCAGAGCCCGAGCCGTGTCAGCCAGAGTGATGGAGGGTCCTCTCTTCCACGAGAAGGAAAATGTAACGAGATTGAACATACAGGGCTTCTCTGTATGAGAGCTGACCCTTGGTCTGCCTTTCTTATGCTAAACCCAAGGTCGGCTAAGCCAAAAAGGAACATTATGAAACTGCCCATAAACCCACTTATCCTGTGTACTGTCCCTCCATAGTGACAGGTAATTTGCCAGACCTCTCAGGATTAGAGACCTGCTGGAGGAGAAAGCTTGAAGCGCGTCCTGAGCTCACCTGCTCCTCCCGAGGTTCTGGCAGGTTCTAAGACCGTTCCTGTGCCTTAATAAAATACCAGTACCACTAGGTCCCCTTCATCAGGCACCTGCTGCATGCATGATAAACTAGCAAGAGTTTTGCAGATTCACCGGGGAATCCCATTTTACAAATCGGAAAACTCCCTCTTAAAGAGATGGGTCGCTCGCCTGTGGACACCCAGCTAGGAGGTGGTGGAGCTAGAGTTCTGGTCCAGATCTGTCTGACTTTAAAGCCATGACCTCCTACAAACACAGTCGAAGAGGAGAGAGAAGCATCCAGTAGAAGCTAAGCCCCCATCGCTACCACCATGCAGGTGCCAGGCTCCCGAAAGAACAACTCCCTGTTGGGTCAGAAGGGCCCTGGTGTGAATTTCTGGACCCGAGGAACTCCCTTTTGCCCGTGTTCTGATGGCCCCATCGCCCCATGCTCAGAATCCAAAGGTACTGGTGTTCTCCACCTGCCCCCACCCCTGCACGCAGAGCCACCCGTAACCTAACTTAATCATAATTAAATTTTTTAACACATAATCACAAGATTCATGGATTAATTATAATTTATTTGCAAATCATTGAAAACATTACTCAAAAATATTTTTCCCTGAAGATTGTTTTGGGTTGCCCAGGGCAGGATAATTAAAGAGACTGAGGAAGAAGTGAAAAACACACAACCACCAACCTAATGAAAGATAATTAAGTAAACTGGTAACTTCGCTGAGCTAACCCTGCAGCCCTGGTGTGCCGGAAAGCCCTGTCTGTTTCTGGGCACTGAGTCAGATCCTTGGGCACCATGTTAATGAATGACTCTGCCTGTTTTCCCATGTGTCTGTTTTCTGGAATAGCCTCCATTTGATGGCGAAGATGAAGACGAGCTGTTTCAATCGATAATGGAGCATAACGTTTCTTACCCAAAATCCTTGTCCAAGGAGGCCGTTTCCATCTGCAAAGGAGTAAGTAGATCTGGATTCCTTTTATAATCACAGACCAAGGGGGTTGACAGGGGAAATCCCTTCCCCACACTCTTGAGAGGTGGTGGAGACACTGTAAACCCATGCCACTCATTTCTGCCATCAAGGGCTCCAGCTTGGTGGCTCCCAGGGAATAGTGGGAAATATGGCTCAAACCCACAAAACTGTGAGATGACCTCAGCAGAAACCAAGAATCAGATACTCGACCGACTGAGCCACCCAGGCATCCCTTGGGGAAAAAAAAAAAAAAAAAAAAAAAAAGGGTGCCTGGGTGACTCAGTCTGTTAAGCATCTGACTCTTGATTTGGGGCCAGGTCATGATTTTGAGGTTCGAGAGTTTGAGCCCCGCATTGGGCTCTGCACAGACAGCATGGAGCCTGCTTGGGATTCTCTCTCCCCACCTCTCTCTCTGCCCCTCCCCTGCTCATACTCATCATGCTCATGATTTCTCTGCACTCTTTTATGTGTGGCTCTGGCTCCTGTCCTGCTGCGTGTGTTCCACTGTGTGGCCGCACCACAGTTTACTCATCCATGCTGCTGCTGCTGGGCTCTTGGCTTGTTTCCACTTTGGTTTGGGGCGCCGTGACCACTAGAACTGCCACGAAACTTCGAGGTTGTGTGTTTTGGGGAACATATGTTTCGGTTGAGGAGACACCTAAGAATGGAGATTACTGGGTCGTGACTTGGTCCGTCTTTAATAGTCAAGGTTTAGGCCACAAAAATTATTGTCAGACCTAGTGAGATGGAGGGTAGCACACTCCTAACATTTTCCGGTGGGTTTGGTGGGTCGGGATGCATTTATCACCCATCTTCTAAGGGCCAGGTACTGCTTACATATATAAACCAGGAGAGCTGGGCCCTGCCCTCCAAGCTGACAGTCCGTGTTCACCTCTACGTCCTGCACTAGGCACGTGGGGATTAACTAGTCACCTGCTGGTGCCGGCATTTATTTCGTCAACCCCCCGAGTCTCCGATTAATACGTTTTGGTCCAGGCAATAAATAGGCACTGAGGCTTGTTACTAGCATCACATGAGATGCACAATTTTTAGTGATTACATACCTTTTCACATATGTATCTTTTTTAAAAAATACTTATTTATTTTTGAGAGGGAGACAGAGTATGAATGGGGGAGGGGCAGAGAGAAAGGGAGACACAGTCTGAAGCAGGCTGCAGGCTCGGAGCTGTCAGCACAGAGCTTGACGCAGGGCTTGAACTCACAAACCATGAGATCGTGACCTGAGCTAAAGTCAGACGCTCAACCGACTGAGCCCCCCAGGTGCCCCTCACATATGTATCCTTATAGACATTTAGGATGGCGGTTCTAACACGACAGTGTATAAAGACACCTACCTAAATTCTTCTGTCTGGCTGTGGGGCCAGATTGCTTGCCTGCTTCCTTTGTCATAGAAATCGCTGTAGAAAGATCCGTGCTGTCAACACTGTATCTGTGAGTTGGGGGTCACTCTGTGCAAGTGCTGACTTCCTGGGGTGCTCTCCAGGCGTCCACATGGTCAGGGCTGGGGGCAGAGCTAGCGAAGGGAAGGCACTATGGTCCAACATTCTCTTTTTCTCCTACTTTATGTGTGCGGCAGTGGGGGGGGGGGGGCGGTGGAGGGGTGGATCTTTTTTTTTTTTTTGTCTTTAGCTTTATTGAGGTAGAATTGACAAATAAAATTATTGCACTATATTTAAAATGTGCCACCTGATGGTTCAGTACGCACATCCAGTGTGAAGAGATGCCCTGTGATCAGGGAGACCTCTCCTTCCCCTCACGTAACTAACTACCTTTTGTTTCTGCGTGAGGACAATACTTGAGCACTTGAGCACTTCTGTGCTCTCAGCACATCTCTGTCATACAATACGGTGTCGTCACCTGTGGCCACCACAGTGTACATTGCATCTTCTTTTCTGCTGCTTTCCAGCTGATGACCAAACACCCCGGCAAGCGGCTGGGCTGCGGGCCCGAGGGGGAGAGGGACGTGCGGGAGCATGCCTTCTTCCGGAGGATCGACTGGGAGAAACTCGAGAACAGGGAGATCCAACCACCCTTCAAGCCCAAAGTGGTGAGTGGGGGGNGAGCCCGACGATGGGGGGGGGGGGGCGGGGAACGTGGCCTGCTCCTGAACCCCATTTTCCCAAGTCCCAGAGGGGTTACCCCCACCGTCCCACCGTTTCTCTGGAGAGAGGAGGCCAGTGACCCCTGGCCTCTTCAGGGTGCAGTGGGGGAAATGGCCGGGTACCAGCCTTGCCTTCGAGCTGTGGTCCGAGGCCCCCGGATTCCCGCCGACTTTCAGAGTCAGCACAGACCCGGCAGGGGCGGGAGACTATGCCCACCAGTAGGGCGGCTGCAGTGTGCCCCCCCAGAGCTGAGAGAGAACGGGGCACGTGTGCTTCGGGGATCGGGCTTCATGGACTCAGAGGCCCAGCAGGGCTGTAACTCTTGCTCCAAGTCCTCATCAGGTCTTCTCGCGTGTGTCCGGCTCTCCTCGCGTGTGTCCGGCTCTCCTGGGTGTGCCTTGTCCTTGGAGCACAAGCGGCTCTTAGCTCCTCTGCAGGCCCCCGCTGCAGGGCACGTGTCCACCTCCCTTCTGGCTCTGCCACCTTCACGAGACCCTTCCCATAGGACTCTCGTGCTTTCCGTTTACTTAACATGTGCACCTGGCCCTGTTCTTGACAAAGCCGCTCATGTCACCCTCACAGCCAGCCTGTAGAGGGGGTTCTGTTGTCTCCAGTTTACAGTTGAGAAAACAAAGGTACAGAGAGGCTGAGAAAGTTGCCCGAAGACACACAGCTGGTAGGTGGTGTTCTGGCTCTGGGGTCGCTATCCTTGCCCCACCGCACCATCTCTCCACCTCAGTGCCTGCCGTCTGCCAGTCTCCTGATTGTTGGTTGTAACCAGCGTCGGCCGTTCCTAACGTTTCTATCCCTAGAGATGAACCAAGAGTCTTTAAGACACGGGCCTCCTCACTCACACCACCTGTCACTTTCCAGTGCTTCCCGGGGAGTCTGCTTCCCACCCCACCCCCACGTCCCATCTCTGGGGGCCAATGGATCGTGCCTTCCAGCTCTGCCACTATCTCTGCCGGTGCTGGGTCATCACCTCGGTGTCCCCACTCCCGAGACGGCAGAGAACAGCTGTGTCCCGCAGCCCATATCTGTCTCCTCCAGCAGGTGCCCACGAGCAGGCACAAAGGACCCTCCTGGGGTGGCTAAGTCACTGACGGGTTGGCAGAAGCTTTATTCTTAGAGCAGCAACTTCCTCATCAAATGTGCTTGTGTGTCCTCTACTCCAAGAATAAAACTGCTGGTGGTAAGCCCACTTCTCCTCTCCCGAGGTATTCTTAGAACAAACTGAAGAAACACTAAAATTAATCAGGTCACTTGACTCCGGCCTGAGTCATCATTTCAAACAGGACCCTTCTGTGTCGGCCACCCTACCTTCCCTTAGCCAGTCCTGGGCACAGGTCTGAAGGGTGCCTTCCCTTCAGTCTACAAAACCTGATTTTAAGGGGGCAGGTGGGAGCGGGGACAGTCATAAATAATGCTGCAGAGGGACTCAGAACGTTCTGTTAGGGATTTTCTTTTTTCCCTTTTGTATTCCTCTAGCCTTCTCAAATAGAAGAGGTACACAGCAGCCTCTTACCCACAGCCCAGTTCCCTTACAGGACCAGCGTGGACCCGCACCACGCCGACCCTGCTTTAAGTCTTAAGCAAAATACCATTACCTGTCACTTTGCAGAAAGAGACGAGGTGCAGCAAAGTCAGCCGTAAAACACATCCCCTTGTATTTATTCCCACCTCATCCTCAGAAGACATTGTGTATTTGCGTGGCCGCCCCTTTTTTGTGGACACTGCAGCCCTAAACTCAGATGTAAGGGAAGAAGAGGGGACGTGGGTCCAGGAGCCAGGAGTGCGCAGCTGTTCCCTGGGGGCCGTGGAAGTCACCGCAGGCGGAGTTCGGCCGTGGCAGGGAGTTGAGCCAGGAGCAGTGTGTGTGTGTTTATTTATTCCCGGAGTGCGGCTGTTTGGTTTGTTTTTTTTTTAACAGAGAGCTAGCTAAAGTCAAAAGAAAGAAGCAGTTTCCTCTGGCTGTGAAGAAGCAGCCCCCGAACTCACATACAGAAGCCGAATCATGGACCGAGGCCCTAGAGCGAAGGTTTAAGGCCCTGCTGGGCGGGAGCTCTGGTCAGAGGGAGAGGAGAGACGCCCTCTGCTCCCAGTGAGTTTTCCCAGGCAAAAGCCCACATTCTGCTGGAGGCCTGTATGCAGAAAAGGAAGGAGCCGGCAAGCATACACGGGGGCAGCGGACGGGACAGCAGGGGACACGAAGCCATGTTGGGAGTTAGGAACAAGCACCTGCAGGAGTGAGCAGGGGACTCTGTCCCAGGGCAGAAGAGACTCAAAGGCAGAGAGGCCAACGAGAAAGTTCTGGTTCCCGGGAGAGCTCAGTTTCCCCCAGTCCATACACCACGCCACCGGTCTACACAGCAGCAGAGTTTGGCCCCTAATCTCGGGGGAAGGGGGCATCTCTGCAGCCTCCGGGACGTCATTCTGGTCTCGAGGCGCCATGCTGGAGTGGAGAGGCCACGTGCCAGGAACAGTACGGGTAGCGGTAGAGGACATTTACAGCAGCAGGAAGCCGGCTGTGTCCCAACGTCACCAGGGCCGCCTCGTGTCAGCCTGGCCGCCGAGGAGAGCTAACAGCGTATCAAAGCTGTCGTCTGATGTGTCCCCACTTTCTCAGCGAAAGGTGTCGTTCCCTGATCCAGAGCTGATTAAACAGTCAAAAGAGCTTACAGGTAAAATATAGAGCTGAGTATTATTTTCTGACACAGTTTTGTCATTTCAAAGAGAAATGCAGCAACACGGGCCTCACTGGCACAGCCAAGAAGACAGGCAGCCCTGGTGCCGCCAGAGGCTCTGACTGCACGTGTGCAGTGAGCCCCTCTTGGGAGCGTCCCCCTCCCCCCACCACGTGAGCAGGGTCGATGGCCCTGGCAGCGAAACCAGTCTGTCTTGGTGAAGTTGGCTCGAAGCTTTTTCAGCAAGTGCCACTGAATCTGTTTCACCGAGATTTATCAGATGAAGGACGGTCCCCTCCCGACTCCTGGCTCCCATGGTTATTGTGAATGTCAGCAGTAAAGCCCCAGCACCCCGGTCGTCTGCAGGGTGCTTCTAGAGATAAGTTTGTGCTTGCAAACTCTGGAGTCTCAGCTTTGCTTTAGTTTTTAATTTTCCTTTGAATCTGCAATGAAAGATTACTCCAAAGTCACCAGGTTTTGTTTTATTTTTGAGAGAGAGAGAGGAGAGGGAAGCCCCAGAGCTTATGCAGAGTAACCAGGTTCCCGTGATGCCCTGTCTTCTTTTAATTTTCCTACTAACATGGCAATGGGATGCCTTAGTCGGTTAAGACTCTGGCTCTCAGCTTCCGCTCAGGTCATGATCTCGTAGTTTCAAGCCCCGCATCGGGCCCTGTACTGATGGCGTGGAGCCTGCGTGGGATTCTCTCCTTTTCTGTCTGCCCCTCTCCTGCTCACGCTGTCTCTGTCTCTCTCAAAAATAAATAAGTAAACTTAAAAAAGAACATCTCCTACCTACCAAAGCAACACCACTGAAGGTAGACCGAGTGCCACGGAAAATGCGAAATTGCACCACCTGAGACACGTCGTGATGCGTGAGTCCATCAGGAGGCCCCACACAGAACTTCGTGTCTCACCGCAACGCTAAGGTCAGGATCTGCAGTGCCGCCGTGGCCCGGGTCCTGTTTAAAGTCACTCACAAAAGGAAAGCGGAGAGAGTGACCGGTGCTGGGCGTGTGGGACTGTGGCCATCTCCCCTGAGTCTGGAGGTTCAGGGTGCCCAGCCCAGGCACAGATATGACAGCAGGGAGGGACGAGCCTGCAGGAAGCACGAACCTGCCCCAAGGCGGCCCCCCTGGGGGACCCCAGTCCTGGCGGCCCAGAAGGCCACCACGTGCAGTCGTGAAGGTGATGATGATTTCCTGGAAGATGGAGCCGTCGCTCAAGTACTGGTTTCTTTTGTAAAACAAAAACAGCTGTGTTATGTTCTCCCAGAGAGGAGGCAGCCACATAACTCTCTCTCTCTCTGATGGAAAAAAAGGTGCAAAGCAAGCTGGGTTCCATTTTCTCTCAAAGAAAACACAACAGAAGAGCCTCTGATGCACAGACGTAAGGACCAGCTCGGCTGAGGTTCGGGACAACAAGCCTGAGTCATCAAAGAGGCTTGTTAGGGATGTTCAGTGGACCCCGGGTAGGAAGGTACCTTTTGTTAAAGTTTAAAGAAGATTTTACTCCTGAAAAGGTTAATGTTCAGTTGCTGAGAGCGAAATGCCAGGGGCCAGGCATCCTCCCCCTGGCGTCAGATAAACGAGGAGGGGCCCCCCGTGAACGAGGGGCCCCCCGTGAACAAGTGGCACAGCCAAGCCCACTTGACCCGCTGAGGGAAGGAGAGTTCCTTGCTTCTGTCTTTCCAGAAAACTCAAAGACTGAGTGTGCCCTTAGAGACACACGAGAGCCCAAGATTCCAATACGATGTTGCTTGGAATTGTGCAGGCTTTTACCTGATGCATTATTGACGTGAATAAAATGCCCAAGAACCGCCTTCACACGCCTGTTCTTCCTGCCTGTGATAACCATTCACAGAAACGTCAGAAGTGGAATGTCGATTGATTTTTTATGTTTGAATTCTATCCATTGGCACCGAGGAGCAGGATAGCTAGTTCACAGGCGAGCCAGAAGCATTCACGACACTTAAACGGTTATTTGAGAGAGAGAAAGATTAATCTATAAGGTTAACACTGAGCAATACATTCCATTGTTGACAGATGAGCAGAGCACTTTGGAAATAGACCTGTCTGTCACAGGGAGCCTTTCTGGGGAAATAACTGTCCTTATTTTATCAAAAAGAGAGAGGGGGGAAAATAACTTTCATCAGGACTTTGTCATCCTTGCAGCAAGAGCTAAAGATAACGAGAACAGTGAGTACAAGTGTCAGTGCCAACGTGGTGTGATTGCACGGTCAGGTTCATTGTCCCGGTCACCCAAGAATCCTTTGCAGGCATCTGTCAGGGACGCTGCTGGTTTGGTTCCAGACTACGGCGATGCAGCATGTGGGCCATAAAGCAAGTCACTGAATTCTGGGGCCTCTCAGTGCATATAAAAGTCATGTTTACACGACCCTGTGGTCTCCTACGTGTGCAACAGCATTAAATCTTTTTAAAAAAAGAATGCACGTACCCGAATTTAAAAATACTATATTGTTAAAAAATGCTAACCATCACCTGAGCTTTCATCGAGTTGTAATCACTGATCACAGATCGCCCTAACAAATACAACAATGATGGGAAAGTTTGAAATATTGCGAGAATTGCCAAAACATGGCTCAGAGACCGGAAGCGAGCAAATGTAGTTGGGAAAATGGCGCCGATAGATTTGCTTGTTGCCTGCCCGCCACAGACCTTCCATTTGTAAAACACGCAGCACCTGTGGAGTGAGTACAGCAAAATGAAGTGTTTCATGGTGTCCTCAGCCTGTCTAGAAAGTTGGATGTTGGTTTAATTATTGAAGACAGCGCAGTGTACCTTTTTATTTATTTATTTCTTCACAGTGTGCCTTTTTAAATTTTGAAAATTTTTATTTTGAAATAACCTCCAATTTCAGTGTTGCAGAAGAGTTGCAAAAAAAAAAAAAAAAAAGCATAAAGAATTGCTATATTCATTTTGCCCAGATTCCCTACGTGTTAACATTTACCACCTCCGCTTTATCGTTCTTTCTGTACATCTCTGAGTGTGCGTGTGTACAGACACACATATACATGTGGTTGGGGGTTTTTTGGAACCATTTGAGAGTAAGTTGCAAATGGGATGCCTCCTTAGACCTACTTGTTCCACGTGGATTTCCTAAAACATAGGACATGGTGACTGTGTTCTTTTTAGTGACCACTCTGCAAAGGGAGGTAGTTATACAGAGCAGCAGCCATTCAGGTAGAAGAAGGAGGGTCCTGGGGTGGTTGTGTAAGTGCTCAGTGCTGTAGGCAGCCTTGGGCTGGGTGTCCTCCATTCTCTCAGGTCACAGGTAGGTTCATTCTCTCAGCCTTTCAGTCATGCCAGCAAGAGCGATGCTAAATAAAACTGAGAGATTTCTCAAGATTCAGGGAGCTTCACCAGCAGCATGTGAATACTGACCAGCCTTTGGAGACTGGAATCAGCCATGACATGGTGTACTCAGCTGTGACTTAAGCCTTTAAGCCAGCCTAACCCAGCTCCTGCTTGGTTGATTCAAGGCAAGGAGGCTGCCTATTCTTTGATTACTCCCTCTCCCAAATGCTTTTCCACTTGAAAGACAAATGGGAAGGAAGGAATGAGACATTTAAAATCATAATCGGTATAAATAAGCAGCTCTGTTGCAAGCGTCAGGGAGCTCAGTCATGACGGACAGGATAAATGCAAGACCCCACGTGCCTCAAGTTTTGTGAACTGACAACGTCCCCTTGTCCGAAGTGAAGGTTTCCGACAACAAGGGGCATCACAACATCTTGTTTTGGAAAAGGAGCCTTGAATTCTCTAAAGCTGGCCATTCCTAAAGAAAGACCAAATGGAGTGCATGTTTATATTCCATAGAATATGGCCTGCAGTAAGCCAAAGCCTTTCCCTCACGGACACACAGCTCTGACACTTACAAGAATCCACTCATGTAATAGGTGGCTTAGAGCCTGTGTCCATCAACAAACCCATCAATAGAGGCAGCTCCCTGTAGACCAGAACTGGCCCTGGGCTCGGCCCTAGTGCTTGCTTCGGCAGCACATCTACTAAAATTGGAACGGTACAGAGAAGATCAGCATCGTCCCTGCATAAGGAAGACACGCAGCTTCCTGAGATATGCTCTGAGGCAACAGATAAGCAAGTACTTGTTTAATTTTGCCTGAGAAACAAAAACCTGTCTCCAGTCTCTCACCACAGGTGATGTTGGTAGGCGGTGAAGGAGGGTCCTAATCCCTTTTTTAAAAATTACTATTAAAATAATAACTTAGGGGTGCCTGACTGGCGCAGCGCGTCAAGCATCCAACTCGCGATTTTAGCTCAGGTCGTGAGAGTAGTTTGTGAGTTTGAGTCCCGCATTGGGCACTTTGCTGACAGCAAATTCTCTCTCTCTTTCTCCCCCTCCCCTGCTCGTGCTCACTCTCTCTGTCTCTCAAAATAAATAAATAAACGTGAATAAATGAAATAAAATACTAATACTGTGGCAAAATAGTTAAGCGAGTAAAGATGGACATAAAATGACAAGACACTATCTCCCCCACCCCCGACTACTGGTGCCAGTATTTGCTATCCCTTCTGTAACCTTTGGAAAGCTGTATGCACGTGTGGTCATACACACAGCAAGGTACCATGCATTGCGTTTTCCACCTTGCATCTTTCACACAGCGCATGTGGGTCTGTGGCATCCTTTACACGGACCATGCTGACCCTCAGGCTCCCAGGGCAGGCACTGACTGTTTTCCAAATACTTTTCCTCTGTCCGTTCTTATTCTCCAGACTTTCTGTACCAAAATGCACTGGCTTCAGTGGTCATCCAGGCCTTCGGTGAGCACATTTCCAGATCCTTGGGTGACTAAACGAGCAAACTAACCCCACTTGTTAACCCTTAGCGTGTGCACCTGCTTGTGTTGGGTCATGCACGGAAGACCGTTCCTCAAGCATGCTGATCTTACAAAGGGCTGCTGCCCGGGACCCCAGCCCCCTTGCTAGAGGGTTCCGTGGTGTGGACACCACCTCCCAGGAAGCTCAGAACAGAATATTCCCGCTCACTTCTCGTGCTGGTTACTTAACTAAATGAAATCTGTGCAAACCACGAGTCAGAAAGCCAGCACAGCTGTCAGCAGCATTCTTACTAACGCTCCACTAAGGACCACCGCACAGTCAGGCTTGAAATATGGGTTCCCCTAAGATGAAGCATATCCTGCTACATCTGGTAATTGTCAGAGACATCCCCACCTCTGTAAGTTTCCGTTCTCCTTCGTCTTGCAACACGCCTTCACTCTTGCTTTGTTCCGCGCTCTGCCTGCTCCTCCAGGTTTGGTTTGGTTTTGCTTTGTAATGGCAGTGTTTTCGAGCTACTTATACTCACCCTAATTCCCATCAGTGACCGTGGGGTTATATGCTACATGACTGAGACACCAAGGTAAAGGACAGAATTGAGACCAACACATGTATTGTGCATTCTCGGTGGCCTCTCCCAGGTAAGAATCACGAGAAGCCGACTTGCGCGGGGCAGGCTCACTCTCTCCCCATGGCCCTTCCACAGGGTACACAGGGTTGTGAGTAGCCCGTGTGCTGCCCAGGACCCTGGATGGGGAGCACGGTCATCCCAAATTCCACCTGGAGTCTGTATCTTTCTGTGCTTTGTCACATCCTTACCATGCCTGACTTCTGGGTTCATTTTATCAATTATGATTTTACTGAGTGGATAAGAATGTCAGAGCACCAAAGGAATTCTGTCCAGAATCCAGAGTGAAGGAAGGCAGGTAGATTATTAATAGTGTTAAGTCCTCTCTCACATATTAATGACATGCCCTTTACATGGGTGTGTGCTGTACATGCTGAGCCTTAGGTCTGTATCGTGCCTGATCATTTAGAAAGGATCGCACATGCTCTCATTCCCTTGATCCCCACAATAGCATGTTCTTATCTCCATAGTATATTTCCAAAGAGGTGCAGTGATTTTCCCAAAGCTGTACCATGGGCTTTGACTTCTAGTTGATCCTTCTCCCTACTGTACCTCCCTTTTCCCTTAGGGGTCAAATGCAGCCCTGTAAACACCCACACCCTCTGCTCTCCGGGAGTTCCAGAGGACTGCCTGGGCTCACACACTGGCCTGGCCGGCTTTGGGCTGCCCCTTGTTGCCCTCCTCTCCTCCATCTTTGTTCCACATGAGTTATGTGGCCCTTCATATCCCAGATGGCAAAAGGCATGAGTTGGTGACAGGCATGGGTTGCCTCTGGAGGTGAAGACGGTGCACACTGCCAAGAGGTTTTGCTAATAAGTAGCAAGTGCTGCCTGCAGCTCCTGTGGGTTGTCAGGTGGCATAGGGCTCTGAGGCCATGACCAACCCAAATCTGCCTGTTGTCACACACTGTGGTGGAAGCTGCCCTTCCAGTGGCCATGGTAATAACCTTCTTGCATCATCCCTGAGGAAGGTTGAGAGGATGTCTGTAGTCTGGCCAGCCTCATTTTTCACCTCCACTCTCAATCATTCACAGATAGCAGTAGTGCCTCCTCTCACTCCCTCTAACATCTAAGATGGCTCCTGAGCCTTGCCCACAAGCTGATGGTTATGAGTAAGGTTGGCCCACAGACGACAGGAAGAACCTTTCCTATGTTTGAAATACAATAACTTGTTGAAGTCTGTCTTTTCTCCAAGGATCCAAAGAGCGCTGATTTTCATTCTCCTTTTCAGCCATTGATGGTGGTGATTTGAGGATGGTCGTGGTTCTCCACACAAACATTTTGAAAAATGAGTAGGTCAAGATCGTCTCCAATTTGACTTAAAGGAAATTGTCTATTTCTGGGCTAATTTCACTGGGTTGTGAAAGACTCATTTTTTTAAAGCATTAAGAGACCCTCCATGGTGGAAAAATAAGCTCTGTTTCTCAGAATACCCAACCTATGATTAAAATCCCCCTCCCCCGCTCTTTGTGCATCCATCTGGTAGGAGCTCCCTTAGAATAAGAAGTTCTTCTGAGTCTTGGATCTCATCTGATCCTCAGGTTCAGCCTCCAGCATTTCTGGGGCTTTCTTGCCCATGGTCTGCTGGAATACACGAACAGCACTTTTATTCTTTGCTCTCAGCCTGCCCCGTCACCTCAGTGAATGGGTTTAAGAAAGGTTTTCCTTTGCGGGAATGTGATTTCTCTCTCTGGGATCAGGGAACATTCTAGAGTGGGTTAGAGGGGGAAGGGAAAGGAAGAGGTTTTCGGTGGCAAACGGTCTTGAGACCAGCAGCCCTACTCCTGTGCAGTGTGATCACCAAGCAGAGCTTAGACTGTCCTGGTCTCCAGGAGCCCCCTTAGCTCTCTCCCAGCAGCCTACACAGCGTGTGGCTCTGAGCAGCAAGGGGTTCTGCCCCATGTGTTACCATTCTTAGCCTCACAAGCTGCAGCCCCCCTTGGAAGTAATCCTCCCCAGGGTAGCAGCTTCAGAATTTTATGTCCTCAAGCACCCACCCCCATCCCCAGGCTTCTTGGTGCTGATGTTTATGTGGTCCCCTTTTTAGATCTTGGGGAGTCATCTTTTAGTTTTCTTGTTTATGTAGCAGATAAGCCATGGCTTTTAGAACTTCCTTTTGGAAGATGATCTGTGAATACCCTAAAGATGGTACTCAAAAGAAAGGTCAGACCTCTGCCCTCTTCACAGAACACATCAACAAACCTAGAGTTAGATGGATGGACCATTTACCTTGGCTTGCCTTCCTCTTCTTTTTAGAGACTTCACCTTTTACTTTTCCCAAAAGTTTTTTCTTGCTCACCTTTGCGTGGTTAGTGAATAGAAAAAGAAATGCAAATGATCTCTTTTTAAGGGAGCACATGTCCCAGCCTCAGGGAGCACCTAGAGTGGATTCCCATGAAATCGTCCAGGCTGTGGATATTGATTCATCAAGTTCCCAAAAAACATCCTCTCCAAATACAACTGCACCGTCTCACATGCGGGAGGCAGGACCATGTGACAAGCAAGCCCAATGGTGTGGCCTCTGCAGAGTGGCTGCAAGGGCCCCATACCTCCGCCTCCCTCCACCCCCACATCCACATACCCATATCCACATACCTACACAGTAGTCACTGTGTAGACTCTCCCCCCTCCCCCCACTAAGAGTGGTGGTCACTCATGAAAATGAAAATACTTCCAGAAAGTGAAGCTGTCAGTTATGAAGACCTTACCTTGAACTCATGGCATGACTTCCACCGCAATAGGTACTTAGGAGCAGGGTTTATTTGATGATAAGAGGGTGGAAAAGCCACAATGAAGCTAGATTCTCAAGGAAACCTTCTAGAAGGTGGGAAAATGTAAAAGAGGAGGTGGGAAACTACTGTGAGACTAAACTAGCCTTACAAAAATAACAGCAACCCTTGTGCTCTCACTGCATGCTGGGGTCTGTGCAAAAATACCGCACCCTTAACCTTCTTAGCAGCCCAGGGAAGGGGCATGGATCTTCTGCCCCTTTTACACTCGAGGGAGTGGGATGGACCCCACACACACACACACATACACACCCTCACAATTTACCTAGAGCTATCCTCTGTTAAAGACCCTGGAATGCCTGGTTAGTTTAAAACTGTGCTAACTCAGAATTAGTTAATGCCGCCCTATTGCCCTATTGTGCCAGCAGGTGGAAGGGTGATCATTTGCAACATGTGGAATACCATTATTTGTATCACTAGTGCAAACCCAACACTCCCTGTCTCAGAGTCCTGTGGGGTCCTGGGGACTTAAACATGGCACAACCCTCTGAGTGGCCAAGAAAGTGAGGACACCCCTTCCTCCCCCCTACCCCCATTTGGAGTCAGGCTCCCAAGTGGTGCTGTGCATGCTGCCATCGTTCTCTGAGCCTTTAACAGGGCAGCTCTGCGTGCAACCCCTCCTGCATTGAGTGCCCTGGTGCACCCTGGAAAAGAGGAATATTTAAGACAGACAGCAGGCTTTGCTCTGCCTACTCAGGGCACCAGAGCAAACCCCTCCAGCTTGAGACCACCTATGAGTGTCAACCGATCTGCCAGTTGACCAGACAGATCTAGATATACTGAAGCCCAGCTGGGCTCAAGGGTGAATGTCCCAACCTTGCCACCACACCTCTGTCAATATTGGTTGAATGAGATTTTTAGAACTTCCCAATTGCAAGTGTAACACAGCTTTCACTTTATGACAAGTATGGTTGCAAAGAACCAGATGTGGGACAGTAATCTCAGCCTCTTGGTTCTGAAGTTGCTGCCTGCATCTCCACCCAACATCCTAGCCTTTCAACACGGACAGTGACCCGTGGCCCCGTGCGTGTGGCATCATGCTCCTAGCCTGCTTGCTCTAAGAAATGAAAGTGAAATCAAACAGGCTGTGTCCTTGCTGCTGCCTTACTATCAGCAGTGCCTTTCCATGGAGGGTTCAGTTCTGAGGGTATTTGAGGGTTTATAACCAAGTGAGTTTGCATTTTTGTTTGCTGTGCCTGGCTTTTGAATCTAGTAGGTGTACAGGTTCTTCACCTCTTTTTCCTCCTTCGCCAAGCCCAATTTCCCGGGGCCACGCTCTTCCTTGCAGAGGCCTCTCAGAGAGCTGCTCCCTGTACTTTGACAATAATTACTGACCTGTCCTTTTTTCTCTCTTCTCCGCAGTGTGGCAAAGGCGCAGAAAACTTTGACAAGTTCTTCACGCGAGGGCAGCCTGTCTTAACACCACCTGATCAGCTGGTCATTGCTAACATAGACCAGTCTGATTTTGAGGGGTTCTCATATGTCAACCCCCAGTTTGTGCACCCCATCTTACAGAGTGCGGTATGAAACTCACCACTGAGAACTAACGCCTCCCCAGCCCCCAGCCCTCCAGCAGTGGGAAATTATCCTTAACCCTAAAATTTTAAGGCCATGGCCTTTTTCTCTTGTTCCAGATGGAGGCCTGAAAATTTTAGGGTTATTAGTCCAAATGTGAGTAACTGCTCAAGGTTTCTCTCTTACAACCAAGAACATTATCTTAGTGGAAGATGGTATAATGTACAGTGTTCAGTTTAATTATGTAGAAGTCACATCTGGCTGTAGATTAACCGTTCCTAAAAAACAAACTCTCCCCCTTTTTTGGTACGATTTGATATATTTTCCATGCCCTCTGTCAGTTACCACCATTGGGATTTCCCCAACCAGAGATGTTAAAATGAATCTGTCCCGGTCCAGTGGGCAAGAAATATCTCCACCCGAGATGTCTTTGGAATCAAAGAATGGGGACCCCAGAATGTGAGCCAGGCAGGATTGGGGTGGGGGAGACTTTGAAATACCTGCTGCTTCTGTTCTCTGCCTCAATGGAAACAGACCCTAGAATTCAAGAGGCTGAGATGAACCAAGTCCCTACTGGTGAGTCATTTACAAGCTGTTACCAGACATTGACAGTCTTAACCCAACCATGGTTCGGTGATTACTGGTTTTAAAAAACAGAAACCTCAGAGGAACATTGGTGAATCTGTCAGCTACCCTATTTGGATGATAAATTATCTTGATACTTGCATTTCTTTCTAAGAGGCCAAATCTAAGAACTTTGCTAAATCAGCATGTGAAATCATTTCAGATCAAGGATAAACCAGTGTGTATGTATGTTCATTTTAATCTCTGGGAGATTATTCTGTGATCCAGGGTGCCATCCGCAATCATGCCACTACTCACGAGTGTTGTTAGCCAACCCCCACCCCAACCAATATTTTGCTACCTACTTCCTAAGAAGCTGAAGCATATGCCCCATCCCCTTTTGTACTTATTTATTTAATAGGCTGCGGTGTCGTTTATGAGAGTATGGTGTACAGTAACTTAACAGAGTGTTGACTGTAGCATAAGTCTCCATTGATCGATTTCCCTCCCATCTCCAGCCCCTGACATCCACCAAGAGATGGAAACCAATACACTTTTGGTCCCCATTTCCAGATCATGTTGAATGACACACCTGGAGCTGTAGAATCAGGAAAATCTGGATGCACATCAGCTCAAAGATATTTTATTGCTAGAAGGATTTTAATATGTTTTGCAAATGCATCATGCAATGAATTTTGCATGTTTATAATAAACCTTAATAACAAGCAAATCTATATTATTAATATAATCGTATCAAGTATAAAGAGAGTATTATAATAATTTTATAAGACACAACTGTGCTATATTTGTGAAGGCTCTTGTTTCTAATCTGCTTTTATGATTAAGTTTTAGCTTAATTCCTTTCTGCTGTGCTTCCTCTCCCCCTACCCCATGCATACCCTGCACACTGGCATTGTATCAGATATATTAATTTCCTATCGTAGATCTAATTTTAAAAATGAATGGCTATTTTACATGATTAATTAGGCGCATATATATATTTATATATATATATATATATATATTTGATTCTACCTGCAAACAAAAGTTTGATTGTTGAGGATTATTTCTGAGATGACACTCTCTCCTAGTTCCTTAGCACCATCTTCTGTTCTGGTTCCTATTCCACTCTTCCTTGGGGACAGCGGGAAGTGTTTGGCTCCCATATGCCTAGTATGTTTGTGCAGGTGTGTGATGTTGTTGCAGCCCCTGGGCTGGGACTTTGGTTTTTCCTTTTCAGCCTTGTTACTGTTAGTGATTCGGGGTGGGAGGGATGGGAAGACGCCCATCCTGCTATGAGTGCATGGACACACCAGGAGCACGCTCTCCACCCCCGGAACGACTCGCCGTTTGCTCCAGTACATTACAGACTTGATGAGACAAACCGTCCGGTCCACCAGCCCCTGGAAACAGCCATGCCCTGGCTCTATCAGCAGACTCTTTAGAAGCTGTAGGTTTTCTTCCACCTATTGCTAGAACTGGCCTTTCCAGTCTTGTGAAGAACATCTCTGTGGTGAGACACTGTGCTAACAATGCAAGGTCCTCAGAGACGCCAGCCTCCTACAACGGAAAGAACATGGAAGCAATTACCATTTCTTACAGGGGCCTGTTTCCCCTTATCCCCCGAAACGAACCTCCCAGCTAAGCACCTCCCCATTTTTACTCTTTGGCTGTTTGTCCAAAATTCGTGTAACATACAACCACAGAAGGGTATTTGAGATGAGAGAACCAGTCTGTCCTGGAAAGCCTCGACTGGAGGAAGAGGTGGGGTAGGCAGCGCATCGTCCTGGAAAAGAGGAGCTCCCTCTGCACCATCTTTTATGGGCTATAGACTTCAGAATTCAAAAAGGGCCCTAGCACACCCAGAGCTGCAGTCCTGCTGACCCGTGCACCTTTTGGGGACACTTCCTCACCAGGTACACGTCACTCGGTTGGAAAAAGGGGCCAGTTTATAGAATGAGCCTAAGAAACAAGAAAGCCAGATGCCCTGCCCCCGGACGGACCCCCAGCCAAGCCCCAGACAGTGAGGAAAGTTTCAGAAAGGACCACATGGGGTTATGACCATTTGTTCCCGAGCCCCATGCTGCCTGCTTGTTTTTAAACCAGCAGCATCCTCAAGCTTTCCCTCAAACAGCCAACACATTTCCAAATTATTCATAATTCTCCAGGAACCATACTCGGCATCTCAGCCAACTTGTATTCTTTCAGAATGCCTGGCAAAGTTTTAAAAGAAAATATCCTGGCTGGGGGCCCAGCACTCGGCCTGCAGGACAGCAGCCTTGAGCACAAACTTGAAGGAAAGACAGTAAAACTCAGGGCCTGGTGAAGTGTTACCCGTGATGTACCCTGTTTGGTACATGGTTTTGCACCAAGTTTAGATAAGGGCTAAATGTTTTAAAGGTCTGAGAAGCCAAGACAGTTACTGCTGAAAGGATAAACCATGTGGGTAACCGTTACCAGCTGTTAGACGAGCTTATAAAGGAATTGATTTATAGAAGATGGTGGCATAGCCCCACTTCACAGGTGTCGTATGGTATAAAAGCCCAGGGAAGGGGCGCTTTGCTGACTGCAGCTGGTGTCCAGAACAAGGAAAGCACCCTAAATGGCAGATGCCTGGGGGCCTCTTGAAATACCAGCCCATGGGTCCCACCCATATTACTAGGGACCGTGGAGGTCCAGGGCCCAGGCAGGATCTAGCACAGGCTCGTTCTCCCCCAGACTCCTCAGTCTGTAACTCTGAGAGGCCGTCCACACTGCCCTGCATTATTTTCCCTCGAACAGTGGCTGCTTCTAAGCGGCAGAACTTCACTCAGAGGCTACAGACCAGCCGGGCTGGCAGCCCTTCTCTTGACATCTTGTCTAAAAGCACTGGATGCTTGGTTTGGATTGAAGTGTGTGGAGTGTGCTGCCGGGTGCAGCCTGCAGAAGTCAAGGGGAGGTTCCCTGAAGGCAGGAAGCAAGTCAAAAGGTTGATAGGAGACGCTAGGAACCGAAATGATTGCTCTTCAGTGCATCTACGTCTCTTTTATCCCCATGACCTGGTACAGGTGAAGGCAGAGTCACTGTCTGCCTTTTCTTAGGAGATGTGTTAGGCTTTCTTGTTAGGGATTTTGGCAGAAAATCAGAGAGCCTAGGGCACTTTGGAACTTCACCTGACATGGCTGGTTAAAAGGTGGTGAAAAGCCAAGTTTGATGTCAGCCAGCAGAGGGTTGGGGAGCACATCTCTGAGTTGCAGCCCTTAGCAGAGCGTGCAGCTTACTTGCTGGAAGGAATGCGCAGACCCCAAGAGAGATACCCATTGATCTTCCGAGAAGGGGGAGGTCAGTGGAGGCCGAGGTCAGTAAGGCATTTAGAGAAGAGCAGGGCTTGAGGGTGACCAGAAGGATGCCTGCAAGGAGGAGGAAGCCGGGAGGGTGTGGAAGGAGACGGCATCTAACACTGGAAGCTGCTGCTATCTCCAGTGGCTCTGCGTTGTTGGTTGTTGACAGATTTGACAGCACCTGCTGGTCCTTGAGAGCAATTTTGTTGCCTGAAACACAGTCTAGTCCTCCTCAGAAAACATCTCCTGAATGCCAGCCACTCCCTCACTAGCTGCCTGAAGCCTGCTCCCCCTGCCTGCCTTGGAGTGGCTCACAATCCCCTAAGCAGAGCCAGACCACCCAGCATAGCCTGGAAGCCAGCAGGTTCCCGCCCATTTTCCTCTGTGGCTTCCTGCCGAGAATCATGGCAGCCGGGGATGGATAGGGAAGTGGCAAAAGTAACTAACACTCCAGTCCCCACCTGATTGCACTTAGCAGGACAAATTTGGGTCTTTTATGCTGGGATTCGGTTTCCCAGTACTGAAGAGGGAGGAAAAGTGAGAGTCTTATATTTTTAAATGCCTCAGAAAGGCAACACCAACTGACTGTCATTTTCTCACTTTGGTCCTATTAAGTCAGTCACCTATTTCCTGTGGGTACATATCACACCATTTCCTGTCCCTTGAAACCCAGCAAGGGCAGGGTGCTGGTTCCCCCACTGAGCACACTCAACAGTCATCATCAAGAAAATAGACACTGACCTGGGGACCCAGGTCCTAACAGTCACAGGAGTGACAAAACCATGACAATGACAACAAAGGAAAGGGGCCCTCTGCCACTTAGTGACCGCACACTAATTTGACAAGTGGAGAAATCATTTTTAAAACATTTCCCTTGAGTTCCTTGGGCTATATCTTATGAAATATACCAGACTGTAAGCATTTCTGTCATTTCCCATTTGAGCTGATGCAACAAATCTAGGGTATGCTATATATTTCTGCTGCAAAAGATATAGAAAATTGGGAAAGGTTACCTGAGGTACAGTGAGCGAAGGCATCTAGAAATGGGGTCAACCCCAATTCAGCTAATTCTCTAATATCAGGGACTCTTTGGAAGGGTTGAAATCATGTATGACCAGGAATCTCGTGCCTCTGATTTATGTTCATAACTGTGTGTAAGTCTCATTCAGTCATCAAACAGCCTTACAGTGGCCCTACACTAAGGTCCGTGGGTTCCAAAGACTTTTTCTTAAACCTTAAGGAAGAAATTAATGTGTTGATTCCAACAGAAAAACTGAGTATACTGGGCTATTTGTACTTTTTTATAGAGAACTTTAATAACGCAATTCTTCTTTTAAAATAAGTTTTTAAAATAAAATTACTGACACTTTCATAAGATTCCAATCCCTCGGAGCCTATAGGAGGTCAGGCTGGAGCACTTCTGATCTGCACCCCCACTGCAGGATTTTCCCATGCCAGTGGTATATGGAGTCCACATCAGAATGGCTGGAAACCAGGTGGAATGTGTTGTCAGACTGATGTCTTCCATGTTTTTAATGGGGATAACCGTCTAAGGTCTAGAAACTTTTGGACCATAGGAGAGAGAGCTTTGTTGTCCCTATTTATTATTTATTGTCCTGGCCCTAGGATGGCATTCCCCTGGGGTCCCTGGGGTCCCTTTCCTTGCTCTGTGAGGCTCTGTGACTACCTTTTGGTTTGAGGGGCAGGTCATTTCCTCAGCTCTGTCTCCAGTCCCCATGGGTCCCCACATCTCACATTCAGTGAAAATTCAGAGGTGCCCTGTAGAGCTTCTGTCCACTGGGCAATTCATATCTAATTCAATGTCCCCAAGAAAGCAGACACTCCCTGGGGCATCTGTTTCAGAATCCTCTCTTATGTGAGTAGACAGAACCCCACTTTTCAGAAACTATCAAGTCTAATTTATAAGAACCTTTGTTGTTGTTTTTTCTAAAATAAGACAAAAGGTGGCTTTGCATTTTCTGATTCAATAACTTTGTCTCCTCTGCTTAACTTTAGGAGTATTTATTCCTGTGATTGCTCGTAGAATTTTGTTGATAATCTTCCTGGAAGAATGTGATTCTTTTCTCAAGGGGCTTAGTGGACTATTGAAAATCATCCATCAAAGGCAGTTATTCTTTTGAGCCTAAATGGTCTAAAAATTCGCCTCATATCCTTTCTATCAGGATCTTTCAAAATAGCTTTTATAGATGGTCAGAGACATTTGAAATCATTGCTTTTGCCACATGATTGTGTGTGTGTGTGTGTGTGTGTGTGTGTGTGTGTGTGTGAAGGACATGTCATGTTTAAATCGTTAATTGAAAAACACCATGTAAGACCCCAAATTCGGATGGAGGAGGAAGAAGAACAGATGGAGGTTGAGGTTTTTCCTTCTGTATAAACACCTACTGATGAAACGTAGAGGCCATTCAACTGTCCAGAAACATTTGGTTCAAAGCAGGCGAGATGGATGTGATAAATTACTGCACTGCTGTCCTCAGTTTGTATAACCTCTGATCTTGGTTTGCATGATATGCCTTGTTAGACACATTAATTGTAGTTTGGAAGCAAGTGTGTACAAATAAATATAATGATCATTCCTCCACGGTCTTGGTCTTCTTTGCTGGGACCTTTGGTGGCCTCGCGACTATGTTTCAGCAAGCGTGCAGCCGGCTTTGGATGGAGCCCGGGCCCCCGTCCCCTTCGTGCATGCCTCTCCACTGGTTCTTCTTAAAGGGCGTCGGGCATCGTGCTTTGATTTGGAACCCGAATAGTCAACGGGATAAAGTAGTGGCAGGTCCCTCTCTGGTTCCTTTATCAGTGGGTGGCGGAACGCCTGCTGGGGGTGGGGAGAGGAATTCCCCCCCGGGGGGGGGCCTGCCTGCAGGGGGCTTCTGCTCGTCACTCCCAAACTGCAGGAGACACACAGCAACTGATGAGGAGGCTGCCCATCGTGTTGGCCACACTGTGGACCCACCTTCAGGACGGCCAGCATTCTTGGCCTCGACAGCACTCCCAGCCGGGATTTATTTTACTCGTGGGCGAGAAATGGGGAGGGGGCATAATTTTTAAATGTGAAACAGGTAGGGAACATATCAAAACACCCAGAGTCTTCACACTCAGCCCTGTAGAGGGGATTAGCCTCAAGAAAGAGTAAAAGCCAGTAACAACAATAATCCCCTTCTAAAAGCCGAGGGCCGGGGTGCCTGGGTGGCTCAGTCAGTTGAGCGTCCAACTTCGGCTCAGGTCATGATCTCACGGTTCACGGGTTCGAGCCCCACATCGGGCTCTGTGCTGACAGCTAGTTCAGAGCCTGGAACCTGCTTCAGATTCTGTCTCTCTCTCTCTGACCCTCCCCTGCTCACACTGCCTCTCTCTCTCTCTCTCTCTCTCTCTCTCTCTCTCAGAAATAAATTTAATAAAAAAACAAAAAAAACATTTAAAAGCTGAGGACCAGCCTTGGCAAAGTCCACCTTCGCCTGCTTCCTCGCTTCCTTTTGGGGGGCTGCTCTCCCCTCATGCTTACAGTCTTGTCCATCGGCCACCTCCCTCCCTCCCCGCCTGCAGCCCCCAGCCCTGTCCCCTCACAGTGCTCTGAGTGAGTTTCCTGAGCGCTGGTGTCCACTGGGTTAAGGTCCCGAGCCCAAGCTGCCATGCTCCCAGCTGCATCTCCCAGAGACTAACAATTACTGAGGAAGAATAAAGAACTCAGAGCAGGGTACAGTCGCTGGCTCCTGGGCTGGCCCTGAACTTCACTCGGCTGGTTGCTTTTACAGGTATGTATACGGCTTATGCCTCGTCCTCATGCTGCCTATCAGAATGGCATTATGTGTAATGGCTTTTCAAGGCATCCTCAGGTGCCCAGTGCGCCGTCTTATCCACCATGAGGCTAGTTGGGCCCCGCACGTGCTTCATTGCATTTCCTTTACCGCAGTGCAGAAAGGTGCCCCTTGCATCCCTGCACAGGGTGGTGTCCTCAGCAGGAGCTGAGCGGCCCACTGTGATTCACCCGTGGGGGTGAACCCAGAGGCCCCGCAAGATCAATGAGGCTGGTCTTCCCAGCCCCACGGAGGCCAGGGTTGGGGTGGGACTGGGCACCAGAAGGTGGATGGGCAGACCTGTCAGGATTTGATAAAGCCTCCCATCTTGGGATCGCTGCTCCCCAGCCACCCTCGGAAGCCTCTCCCCTCCCCTCCCCCACTCCCCACACCTTGGGACATAGGTGAGCCGCCAGTTGGGCTGACAGCCCATCAGCGAGTCAACTCAGAGGGTCATTCAATTTGACGAGGTTCCTGCACTCACCTCCTCCCCATGCCCAGATCTTGCCGTGGGCCTGGCCCTCGTGGCTGCCTCGGCATGTCAGCACCCATTTGCGTCTCCGTGCCCCGCATCCCTTCCTCCTTTGTGCATCCCGTCTCTGGAGAGGCTGTTAGGAGCAAAGGCTGCAGCCGCACTGCCTGGCGTCCCGCTTAGTAACTGTTTGATCAGGCGCAAGTGATTTGTGCCTCTCTGTGCCTCAGTTTCCCGTTCTGTAAAAGGAGACGATGATAATGGTGCCTACCCCACGGGGTCACGGTGAGGAATGAGTCTGTGCGGAGGGCTAAGAGCATCCCAGCAGGCTCTGCACCGTCAGATCTCATGAACCGTGAGATCATGATCTGAGCCGAAACCAAGAGTCAGATGCATAACCAACGGAGCCACCTAGGTGCCCCTGTCTTAGTCCTTTTTGAGAAAGGGACCATGTGTCAGCTGATTGGGGGATTCCATTGGGAAGGTTATTATGGAGCCAACCTCAGAGTCCAGGCGCAGGGCTGAGTGGAGGTGTGTGGGTGCCCCGGGCAGGCCCTAGCACGGCTGTGCCGTAAACAGGAACTCAGTATCCCGGGAGAGGAGTGGTTGAATAGCAGGGGAGGGAGACCAGAGCTCTGCCAAGTCTCAGCTTGTGGCCCCCACGGGCACACCCGTGCCCCATGGCTGCAGCCCAGCCCCCTGCCCCCCATCCAGCCCCGCTGGGTGAGAAGTCAAGGCCCCTGGAGAATGAGCTCTAGAAGACAGGCTGAGATCACACCACTGTGGCCCCGGGGCTCCGTGCCTGGCCCTGAGCAGCTATGCAGTGAATGTCTGTTGAAGGGATGAGAGTCAAAGTCTACCACGTGGAGGAAGTCAAGCTCCTAACTGTCCCTGCCCTGAAATTACGGGCAGTGCCGCTTGGTGTGGATGTGGGAGGGGTCTCTAATTGTTTTGTTACGTGGGGCGGGCCCATGACTAGGATGCAGTGCAGGGAACACGGGGTCAGCCGTAGAATCCCAGCTTCAGCAGCAGCGCGAAAGTTCACCCTTCTCCACCACCCCTCTCCCACCTACCGCACACTTACCCCCACCCTCTTGGGTCCAAGTCTCTGCCCATGGCTCACCCAGACTCCTGCAGGAGCCTCCTACCTACTGCCTTGCGCAGCCTCTCCAATCTGGCCCCTCCCTGCAGGCAGAGTGAAGTCTCATCCAGCCACATCTTTTCTTCAAACACTCCCAAGGACATCCCGTTGCCCTTGAGAAAGACCAAATCTTTCTAGCTGTGAAGCCCCATGTGAACTCCAACCCTGGCATCATCTGCCCCCCTTTGGCCCCACATTCTCTTGACTCTCTGGCCTTCTCAATGCCTCACATGTGCTGTGAGTTTCCAACCACAGGGCCTTTGCACCTGTTGTGCCCTCTGCCTGAAACATCCTTCTCCAAGCCTAGTCAATCCCACCTTACCCTTCATATCTCAGCTGAATTGTTAACTCTTGCAGAAGCCTTCTCTCTTCTCCCAGACCGGCTCCTCCTCCTCCCAACCCCTCATACATGTCCTTTGTACCTACATCCCTTCTTCTTCTTCTTTTTTTTTTTTTTTTTTTTGCACTCATCACATTGCCATTCTACAATTTTTTTGTGGGAATACATGATTGCCTGCCTTACTGGCTTTCTTTTTGAAATCGAGTGTCACGCTGGGTTGTGCTTGCACTTGCCCTTGCAGGGAGTGGGTATAATGTGTAGCCCAGAGCGAGAGGTCAAAACCAATCCTTCATCCGGGACTGACCTCACTGCCCCATGTCTATACCTGCCCACTTATGTCCAATCCATCAGCAAGTCTTGTTGGGTCTACTGTATAACCATCATTCTCCATGAGTGGGGACAGTTTTGCCCCCCAGGGAAAATCTAGCAATATCTGAAGGTTGTCACAACTGGAGGGAGGTGTTCCTGGGATCTAGAAGGTAAACGTTAAATAAAGGTCAGGGATGCTGCAGAACATTCTGCATTGCACGGGAGAGCCCCCCACCAACAACAGAGAATGATGATCGGCCCAAAATGTCAGTGGTGCTTCCATTGAAAACCCTGTTCTAAAATGTACTCACTCAATCCTTTCCCTTTGATCCACGTGCACTCTTCTCTCTGCCTGTCTCCATGAGGTCACCCTTCGCCCCCCATGACCCTCTCTACACGGCCGCCAGTGTGACCCCTTCCCAGCAAACACCTTCCCTGGTTGAAGCCCTCCAAATGGCTTCCCATCACCCTTCAAACAAAGGTGCAGGGCAGTGCTTGGCCCAGAGGAGGGGCTCAGACGAGCGTGTGCAGAAGGAGTGGGTGAGTGAATGGATCCCATTGCCTCTCTGAGTCTAGCAAACCATCGCTGTGCTTGGCCCGTGGTATTCACAAACTAATTAAGGAGACAAGATGTACACACACACACACACAAGCATTAATTAAAGATCAGGTTTCGAAAACTTTTCATGAGCTTATGCCAAGGAAACCCACGTTGAGTCTCTGTCCATCGGCCTGGCATCTGGAGGCAATGGCAATGGCTGCCTACACTTGCACTTGAGTGATTGTTTAAAGCCCTTGGCTGCGTCTCCCGCCTATTGAACACTCTGGGGGGTGAAATTACAGTTCAGCTGAAATGCTAATGCACCCCGGGCAAAGCAAAGCGAAGGCCATCTATTTTCACGCTCTGTCCCCCATCCTGAGAGTGCGCATCACAGAGAGGAAGGCTGTGCCTGCGGGGAATGTGTGAGAAGTGCTTTTGGCTCCAAAAAAGCAGAACTGGATGTTTCTCCAAGATTCTTTTTTTAAGAAGCTAATTCAATAAATACATTGCAGAGAGGCCTATTCTGAGCATGACAGGGGAAGGTACAATATGGCTCTAAGGAAACAAAGGAGCTGGTTGGTGGTGGGCTCCAGGACTCAGCAGAGACAGGTGACAATGGCGAAAAACGAGAGCTTAACGCAGATTTTAAACACACCGCGCGCGCGCGCGCGCGCGCGCACACACACACACACACACTCACGCTCCGTGAGTACTAAACGTATGCAGTCACTCTTCTCATTACTTTATGTGGATTTATTTAAAGCCCACAGTGACCACACGGAGCAGGTCTTATTTGCTGTGCCCATTTTACAGAAGAGGGAAGGGAAGTCCAGAGAGGTTAAAATAGCAATCCCCAAGGTGAGCAGTGCCAGACAAACTGAGCTGACTGCCAGAGCACAGATGCGAGCAGTGCCAGGGCCTTCCTGGAGGAGGGGGCAGGAAGGTGGTGTTCTGATGAAGGAAACGAAGGAAAGGGAAGCTCAC